TTTTGGGTCCAGTCATGGGGCCTGAACTCTGGGCCTGGGCACTATCCCTCTTCCGGCTTTTTTTTTTTTTTCTTTTTGCTTCTGTGGTGCTGAGGAATCCAACCCAGGGCCTCAGGCATGCAAGGCAAGCGCTCTACCACTGAGCCACCTTCCCAGCCTTGAATTTTTTTTTTGTCAGTTGTGGGGCTTGAACTCTGGGCTTAGGCGCTGTCCTTGCGCTCTTCAGCTCAAGGCGAGTGCTCTACTGCTTGAGCCACAGCATCACTTCCAGTTTTTCTAGTGGTTTATTGGAGATAAAAATCTCACTGAGTTTCTTGCCAGGGCTGGCTTTGAACCACAATCCTCAAATCTCAGCCTCCTAAGTAGCTAGGATTATAGGTGTGAGCCACCAGCCCCGCTTTGTTTTTCTTTTGAGACAGAGTTTTGAAGTCACTCTGTAGCCTGTGCTGCCCTCAAACTCTACATAATCCTGCCTCCCAAGTGATAGGATTACAGGCTTGTACCACTACAACTGGCCTTGATCCTTTGTTTTTGTTTTCTTTTGTTTTTATGGTACGGAGATCAAACCCAGGCTTTGCACATGCTGGGAAAGCACTAAGCTATTGAGCTACAATTCCAGCCCATTTAGAATCTTACAAATTTGTTTTTGACATCTAGCCCAGACATTTACTAGTTCTGTGTATAGGTACATTGACTGGTTACCCTCTTTGTAAAATAGCATAATATAAATACTTTGTGTAGAAGTTACAAGTATCTCACAAAGAAACATTGTGTAAAAAACATGTTTGGCATATGGAAACCTTACACATGTTAGCACTAGTCATTCTATATTATAAATTGTTGACTTCCAAAGTTAGGCTTTTACAATCATGTAGTAAAGGCTTAAATTTGAGCCTCAATTACTTTGGAAATCATTTTTTCCCCTATTATGGTAGCTAATCATCTGAATTTAACCCAGATAACTTAAATTTTAGGATTATTTTGATAACTGAAGACTTTAGTTTTTATTTAACCTTATATTTAGAATTCCTCATTCTACTTAGTGTAGCACACTCAATTCTGTGTTGATCCTTAACGTTTATACCTTAATATATGAGATATATACTTTCTTCTTAAACAGTCAGATTCCACTGATATTTTTTGCCTAATAAATACTAGGACTGGAAGCATAGCTCAATTGTAGAACACTAGCCTAGCATACACAAGGCTCTGGGTTTGGTTTCTAGCATCACACAGGAAAAAAGTACGTACCCACACAAACTATATGGTAAATGAGATGTTTACACCTTCAACTTATAAGCCGAATACATTATTGAGCACTAGAAAAAGACAAAGCTCAACACAAGCAGAAAAAATGTAGTGTAGCTTATAAAAGGTGTTTTTATTTATATTAAGTTTTACTTATATTTTGATGCTAGGGATTGAATTCAAGGCCTCATGAATACTAAACATATGTTCGTTTTACCACTGAGCTACATCCCAGCCTTCATATTGCTTTTAATGTAACATTTAGAAGCATCATTCCATTACTAAATTCTGTGTTTAATATTCATTCATGGTATTTTATACTTGGCTTTAGGATGTGAAATTTAACTTTATTAAGAAATAGCTAGGGCTGGGAATGTGGCTTAGTGGTAGAGTGCTTGCCTAGCATGCCTGAAACCCTGTGCCTCAGTACCACATAAACAGAAAAAGCTGGAAGTGGTGCTGTGGCTCAAGTGGCAGAGTGCTAGCCTTGAACTGAGTATTTGATTGTATAATAATATATGGAGGTACAGTTTCTAATAGGAAAAGAATAATCTTAAGGTTATCCTTGATTGAGAGTCTTCATGGAGTGTAAAAATATTTCTTCCCATTTCTGTCAGCTTTCTCCAATTACATTCTCTCTCTCTCCTTTCCCCCTCCCCCCTTTCCCTCTCACCCTCCTCTTCCTTCACTCTCCCTCTCCCCCCCCCACCACATAGGATTATCATTGATTTGAATCTTAAATTTAGAGATTGAGGAAATTACTAACTTGAAAAAGAATATGAATAGGAATATGATTTGTTTTTTTAAATTGTTGTATTGGAGGCTGAGTGTGGCTTAGCAGTAGAGCTTGTATCTAATGTGCAAGGTCCTGGATTCTATCTCCAGCACTGTAAAGAAAAAAAAAAGAATCCTCGGGTAGAAATAGATGGAGTGGTACTTTTCCTTTAACCCTGAGAATTAGAGAAATGTTACCCTTTTATTTTTTTTTGCCAGTCCTGGGGCTTGAACTCTGTGCCTGGACACTGTCCCTGAGCTTGTTTTGCTCAAGGCTAGCACTCTACCACTTGGGCCACAATGCCACAATGCCACTTCTGGCTTACTCTGTTTATGTGATACTGGGGAATTGAACCAAGGGCATCATGCATGCTAGGCAAGCATTCTATTCCCAGCCCAGAAATGTTATCTTTTGACAGGTAAACATTGAATGTTAGTTGAAAAACAAAAGCAAAAATTCCCACATGAGTAAATATACTGGAATAGATGATTGTCTTCTTATTTGGATATAAGCTCCATGAAGGCAGAGATTTCTCAATCTTTCCCCAGTATCTAGAACAGTGACTGGTATATAGTTACTTCTCAATCTGCATGTATTAAAAAAATTTAATAATAACAAATAAATTTAAAAATGATAAGATCAAGAAAGTAAATCCATTAAATGAGTTTGTATAATAGGTGCATTTGTACACCTGTGCCTGCGTGCGTGTGTGTGTGTGTGTGTGTGTGTGTGTGTGTGTGTGTGTGTGTGTGCGTGTGCGCGTGCGTGCGTGCGCGTGCGCACGTGCTAACCTATCATTTTTAAAGGCAGTTTGCTTCTGAGCATATTGCTAAGAAATTGAGAATAGCTATGAAATCTGCCTTCTCTTTCTTAGAGGTCTTTTGATAAAGTTCAAACAAAGCACAAGTCAAGAAATGGACACTTGAATCTTTGAATTAGAAAAAGTTTTTGAGCCCTGATTAAAGAACTGTACATGAGCATTATGTCTCTAATTATGGTACTTTTTAGGGCCTAGGAACTTATTAATGGTATAATGTAGTGATTGAAACTGTATGTGCAGTGGTTCATACTGAATATACTTTGAAGTCTTGTTGAATCTAGTTTAATACATTTTTATTTAAAAATGTACATTTCTTGATTTTTTTCTTTTTACAAGGAAAATATATACAATGATCTACAGAAACTTGATAGTAGTCAATCAGCAGGGTAAGTTAAATTTTGAACACTATTATAGTATTGTACTGATGAATGAACTCACTTTTCCTTGTTAAAGTTCTGATTTGTAGGCTGTGCATTTTTAGGTATACTTTTATTTACAAACATTGAGTTGGGAAGAGTTGTAATGTGTATTTGAATATTTATGAGACAGCTCAGACACATTATAGCTCTCCTAAAACCCATTCTTAAACTTGCCAAGTGGCTCATGCCTGTAATCCTAGCTACTCAGGAGGCTAAGATCTGTGGGCTTCGGATCAGAGCCAGTCTGTGATACTCATCTCCAATTAACAACCAAAAAGCCAGAAGTGGAGCTGTGCCTCAAGAGCATCAGCCATAAGTGGAAAAGCCAAGTGAGAGTGTAAGACCCTTAGTTCAAGTCCCAGTACTGGAACCCCCCCAAAAAACAAACAAAACAAAAAAAACCCAAAAAACTCCTCTGAGAAATCTGTTTAGTTTTTAGAATAATTTGGCTAGCTTTGGATCCCACTATTCTATATTCAAGTTCTTTCACTCTCCCTCTTCTGCCTCCCCTCTCAACTAAATTTCTAAATAATCTGTGTGTTCAATTTAAGAAGAATCAGTATAATACTTAGCTTTTATATAAGAAATGTTGAACTGTGGTAATGTATCATTTCAAAATGTTAGTGCTCAGGCGTGACTTATGTTTCCAAAGTACTAGTGAAGAGTATCTGACTGTGACTTTGTATATAAATACCCCAAGTCTGGAATTTTGATGTTAAACATCCAGCTGCACACTGTTCCTCTCTAAATAATGACTTTAAGTTCATCCTCATCAAAATTATTTTGTCTCTAGTGTATGGTATCTGAACTTACCCAGGTGGAATGTTGTATATCAGACCCTGAGTCTTAACTCTTTTTCTTTCATTCATTTATGCCATGTATATTTATTGTTGTAACATTTAGTTTTGAACATCATTTGTTTTGAACATCTGGAGTGTCTTTCCTAATCCTACTTCCATATACTCTATTATGAAATCTTTCCTGAGTCTTTGATCCTTAAAACTTCCTCTCTCTTATCACTAACAAATAATTAATGCTATATTTTCTTAGCTAAAATATCATGTAAGGGTTTATTTACTTTTATGTGTTTTCTTTTTAAAATTAAATTCTTTTATTCTTGTCTCCAGTATTTAACATGTGAGTAGCTTTTGGGAAAAGTTTAATGTTTGTTGAAAGGTTAAATTGTATATGGGTGTGTGTTGTACTAGTATCTGTTGAATTACTTTATTAATAAATTTATATTTTCTCTTAGAACCATCAGAATCTGGCACATCTATGAATGAGAATGGATGCCATTTAGGGAGTGAGAATGATCAGAAGGTAATCTGAATATGTTTTAATGTTTCTTGAAAATTGAAAGGATTATATAAAGCAGACCATACCTTCCTGGTGTTAGAAGTTTCATTTGTTGTATTTTATTTTTTTGAATACTTAGGGTCCTGGGCAAGAGCTGCAGGAAGAGAAGCCTTCATCTTCACATTTGATTTCTAGACCATCTACCTCAACTAGAAGGAGAGCAAATAGTGAGACAGGTAGATATGAATTTTTGGCAAATTAAACAGCTGTTTAATATTCTTTCTCTAGTGAAATCAGTACTTTAAGCATAATGGAATTGTGGTTTAGTCAAATGAATTCTATATTTTTTCCTTCAATGCTGCAGACCAAATCCAGGATCTCATGCATACTAGTCTTAAGTGTACTATCTAAACTATCCTAAGACTGGATTGAATGAATTTCATGAATTTCTGATACTTTGTATGGTTTTATTTGGTTTATAAATAATAATAACAGGTGGAGTTCATTTTGTTCAGCTGTAAGTAATAGTTACCTATGTGTTTATAACCAAAATAATAGGAACTCTTAGCTACATTATCTTAGTCATTATAGCAGTTTACCCACTATCCCACAAGGCTAGCACTCTGCCACTTGTGCCACACCTCCATTTCTGGCTTTTCAAGAATTGGAGTTAAGAGTCTGGCCGGGCACTGGTGGCTCACGCCTGTAATCCTAACTACTCAGGAGGCTGAGATCTGAGGATCACGGTTCAAAGCCAGCCCGGGCAGGAGAGACCATGAGACTCCTATCTCCAATAAACCACCAGAAAACCGGAAGTGGTGCTGTAGCTCAAGTGGTAGAGCACTCGCCTTGAGCTGAAGAGCTGAGGGACAGCACCCAGGCCCAGAGTTCAAGCCCCACGGCCGACAAAAAAAAAAATAAAAGAGTCTGTCAGATTTGTCTGCCTGGGCTAGCTTTGAACTGAAATCTGTAGACTAGCCTTCTGAGTAGGTGGGGATTGCAGGTGTGAGCCACTGGTACTTGGCCTTAAATTTCTATTTCACTTTTGGGATAAGATCTTGCTGTGTAGTCCAGACTGATACAGAACTCAGTTTTTCTGCCCTCAGCTTCCCAAGTGACTGGGATTACAAGTATGTACTACTATATCAGGCTTCAAATTTTTATCATTTTTACTAAGTCATAAAACATACTAGTGCATTTTAAACGGAAGGTAAATAGCATCTTAGAAGTTAAAAAGAGGAACCAGATGTAATTGGCTCATACCTCCTAGCTACTCAGGAGCTTGAGACCTAGAAGAAACTCAAAGCCAGCCTGGCAGAAAAGTATATGAGACTATCTCTGGTTTACCAGCAAAGTGTTGGAGGCATGGTTCAAGTTATATAACACCAGCCATAAGCAAGAAAGCTAAGCAAATTCAAGGCTCTTGAGTTCAAGCCTTCCGTTCATACTCAGAGAAAACAGGTGAAACGATTTTTTTTTCCAGCGAAAAGATACCGAATGAAGCCATTGTTTCCTATTTAGTTATAATAACTAAAATTATGAATTCAGTGCAAAAAAAGAGTGGAGATAGTGAAATAGAATATAAAGACTAGAATTTTAAATGTTAACATCTTTATGGCATTAGAATTACTCTAAAATCAGTAGGAGAAATATTAAAAGTTCAAATTGAAATAGGGCAGAAAAGTAGGAACAAATTTTTTTCACAGGGATTATAAATGACAAATATGTGAAGATAGTTTTGGCAATTTTAGCTTTACTGATAATAAAAACCTAAAAGGAGGGAGGGAGGTTGGGGGGGGAAGGGGGTGGGAGGGAGGGGGGAAGGAGAAGGATAGGGATGGGGGGAGGGGGGAGGCTGGGAAGGGATGGGAAGGGTAAACAAAGGAGGAGGCTGCAGTGCTTGGTAAGAAATGTACGTATTATCCTGCCCATGCAATTGTAACCCCTCTGTACAGTATGTTCACAAATAAAATAAAATTAAATTAAAAAAAAAACATCATATTTTAAACCACAAATGTATATGTGTGTGCGTATACATATGCTTAAAAGTCCTTAAGAAAATGAGCTATCCTCAATCAATCCAGAAGTTGCATCTTTGAAATTTTCAAAATATCAAGATGTGTTCTAATTAAAAAAGAGAGAAAGAGGAAGAGAGCAAAGATGTGGACTTAGAGAACAGATAAAAAATACAATTAGAAATAACATTTGGGAATTAATTTTCAACCAGGTTGATTTTTTAAGGTTTGTCGTGAGAGACTATTTTACATAGCTCCATGAAAACTCTTCAATTTAACAAGGCATTGGAGTATTAATGAAATTTATCAAGGGAAAGAAATGAGAAGCATGAGAATCAGAAGTGAAAAGCTGATAATGCACAAAAGAATCACTGTATACACTATTACAACTTCTCAAATAATTGAGTAAAGGAACATGTATAAAATCTATTCCAAAACACATAATTTCATATATAAAACCAGTTAGAAATCTTAATCAATTATCATTGATTCAGTAGACATAATGCAATTAACAAAATAAAATAATGTAAGAATAATCTTTTAAAAGTTTCTTATCTTTAAGTAGTTGTACAAAGAAATTGCCATTCAATAAAGCAGTTTATGAATAAAAAAAAAAAAAAAACCTAAAAGGATATCCTAGTCTCTCAAATTAACAAAAACCTTATCTTTGCTCATTTGAGTATTGGCACTAATATACTATTATACTATTAGTATATCCATTGATATGAATTGGTTATATCTTTATGAATTATGAAAAGACTTAGATTTCTTACCATTACCCTAGTGTCCAGTTTTGGGAGACTATCCTAAGGACATAATCAGATAAAAGCAAGATTTATATATAGAAATATTAGTTGGGTACTAATGGCTGTACTTCTAGCTACTTAGGAGGCTGAGATCAGAGAATGCCAGTTTAAAGCCAGCAGAGGAGGAAAGTTCTTGAGATTCTTACCTCCAGTGAACCATCAAAAAACCAGAAGCTGTGGCTCAAGTGGTAGAGTAGTACCAGTCTTGAGCAAAAACGCTCAGGGACAGCATTCAGGCTTTGAGTTCAAGCTCCAGGACTGGCACCAAAAAACAAAACAAATAGAATATTTAAGAGAGAACATAGAGCATAATTCAAATGTGGTTTTTTTCTTTTTCTTTTTTGTCAGTCACGGGGCCTGAACTCAGCCTGGGAGCTCTTCCTCAGCTCTTCAGCTCAAGGCTAGCACTCTACCGCTTGAGTTATAGCACCACTTCTGGCTTTTTTTTCTGCTTATGTGGAGCTGAGGAATCGAACCCAGGGCCTCATGCATGCAAGGCAAGCATTCTACCACTGAGCCACCTTCCCAGCCCGTTTTTTGTTTTTTTTATAAGGCTTAAAATATTAAATCATGGCCTTGATTTTGTATACTAGACAAGCACTGTATGCTGGGCTAGCTCCTTAGTCATTAATTTTTTTAAGGAAGTAGATTAATGAGAACTAAATTAATAAAAACTAATGTTTCAGTGGTAGCATTATAAATGACTTGTATTTTTGTCTTTTTCCTCTTTTCTTTTTCTTCCTTCCTCCTGTTCTTTTTTTCTTTACTGCTGGAATTGAACCTAGGGCCTTGGGAATGCTAGCTAAGTGGTCTACCATCCACACTCGCAGCTCCTTTTATAGATTTTTGTAGTGAGGCATATATTACCCTAATATCAGGAAAAAAAAGTCCTAACTGTTGTTACTGTTATTTGTGTGTGTGTACACACGCGTATATGCAAGTGTACATGTGCTAGTACAAACTCAAGGGCCTTGCAGTCTCCCTCAATCTTCAGCTCACAGTTACTGCTCTACCACTTGAGCCACACCTGTAGTCTGGCATTTTTTTTTTTTTTTTGGGTCGGTCATGGGGCTTGAACTCTGGGCCTGAGCGCTGTCCCTCAGCTCTTCAGCTCAAGGCGAGCACTCTACCACTTGAGCTACAGCGCCACTTCCGGTTTTCTGGTGGTTTATTGGAGATAGGAGTCTCACGGTCTCTCCTGCCCGGGCTGGTTTTGAACCGTGATCCTCAGATCTCAGCCTCCTGAGTAGTTAGGATTACAGGCGTGAGCCACCAGTGCCCAGCTTAGTCTGGCATTTTTGCTGATTAATTGGAGGGAGTCTCTTAGACTTCTCTGTCATTTCTGGCTTCAAGGTGAAATCCTCTGATCTGTCTCCTGAGTAGCTAGGATTGTAAGCATGAGTCTGTTACGGGTGTGAGGCTTTTTGTCCAGTCTCTTATATCAGTGTAACCCAGAAAAACAAATCCAAATTGTCTTCTATGTAATTTGAACACTTAAGATAAAAAGGATGAAGTCTTATTTCCCTAATTTTGCTTTTGACAAATTCTAGATTGGTAAATAAAAGCTCTAGATGAATTGATATGACTTGTAGATATTGGGAAGCTGTTTATTTATTGTTGGCACTGGGGTTTGAACTCAGGGCTCAAAGCTACCATTTGAACTAAACTTCCGGCTATTTTGGTGGTTAATTGGAGATAAGAGTTTCATGGATTTTCCTGTCTGGGCTGCCTTTGAACTATAATTCACAGGGCTCAGCCTCCTGAGTAGCTGCTATTACAGGTGTGAGCCACTGGTACCTGGCTGCATAGCTTTTATTTTGTCAGTCATGGGGCTTGAACTCTAGGCCTGGGGTGGTGTCCCTGAGCTCTTCAGCTCAAGGCGAGCACTCTACCACTTGACCCACAGCACCACTTCTGGTTTTCTGGTGGTAAATTGAAGATGAGTCTCATGGAGGGCTGGGAAGGTGGCTCAGTGGTAGAGTGCTTGCCTTGCATGCATGAGGCCCTGGGTTGGATTCCTCAGCACCACATAGCAGAAAAAGCCAGACGTGGCGCTGTGGCTCAAGTGGTAGAGCCCTAGCCTTGAGCTGAAGAGCTGAGGGACAGTGTCCAGGCCGAGAGTTCAGGCCCCATGGCTGAGCCAAAAAGTCTCATGGACTTTTACTGCCCAGGCTGGCTTTGAACCACAATACGCAGATCTCAATCTCCTGAATAGCTAGGATAACAGGCATGAGCCACTGGCACCCAGCCTGGATAGCTTTTAAAAATACAGTGTTCTGCTATAACTCTTAGTTGGACAAACTGAATAAAAAGTGTTGGCTTTTGAAACATTAATAGTAATTTACTATTTTTCTGTTTGTTTTCATTGAAATTTAATTTTATTACAAATATGTACTCAACATATCTCAGCTTCTGAATCATAGAACAGAATTTAATTACCCATTTTTCTCTTAAATATCCAGAAGAAAACTCAGATGAATTTTCTACTGAACAACAAAGAAAGCGCCACAAATCTGATAGTATTTCCCTTTCCTTTGATGAAAACATGGCTATGTGTCCAGTAAGGGAGATGTGTCGTGAAAGAAGCAGTAGCAGTGAATCGACAGAGACTCCCTCAAATCTGGTAAATCTTTCATTTTAAATAAATTAAGGTTTTTAAAAACTGTAAGTCTAGGGGCTGGGAAGGTGGCTCAGTGGTAGGGTGCTTGCCTTGCATACATGAGGCCCTGGGTTTGATTCCTCAACTCCATATAAGTCGAAAGTGGTGTTATGGCTCAAGTGATGGAGTGCTAACCTTGAGCTGAAGAGCTGAGGGACAGTTCCCAGGCTCAGAGTTCAAGCCCCACGACCGACCAGAAAAAAAAAAGCCCCCAAACTGTAAGTCTGGCAATACTAATAAGCCTATAAATAGAATAAGTTCATGTGTATGATGTTAGATTGCTTGACCACAGTGATAAATTTTATTCTGAAATATTACTGCTATATAAATCTTTTCACTTACAACCCCAGGTTAATAATGTTACCCTATATATTAATGAATCTTTGTAGACCATGTACCAGTGCTAAGTTCAGATACACTATAGTATAAAGTCTGAGAATTTGGAGGTCAGTTTTTTTATGTGTGTGTGTGTTTTTTTTAAGTTAAGAGAATAAAATTGGAAATTCGCCTTAACTATGTATCTAAGGATTTGAAGGCAAATTTGCCTTGAATTTTTAGAGTAACAGTATCTTAAGTGCTGGGAAACATAGTTCAGTAGTAAGCACTTGCTTGCCTAACATGTGCAAGATCCTGGGTTCAGTCCTAGCACCACCCAAAAAATCCATAGAAAACAACAAAAGAACTTTTTAACCCAGCCACCAAAAAGTAAATCAACATAGTTTGAGCCTAACATTTGCAATACCTAAGTCTAGACATGACTAGTAGCTCTTTGAAATTTGGGTATAATATTGCATGGATATGAAAGAGTAAGTATCTGCTGATAGTTTATCTGCCAGTAAAACTCCAAAAGATTCCATATGACTATTTTTTTTAGCAAAATGCTTGACAAGTGTGATCTTTTCTCCATCATTAAGCATTTATCTTAAATTTTTATTTTTTATCCAGGTCATAGGGATCAAAGTCAGGGCCTTGTTTGTGCTTGGCTTATACCTGAACTTAATACCTAGTCCTTTAAAATGTTGTAAAAATTGGAACCTTGGTGATATAATGATACTTGTGGTTATTATTCTGAATATTAGTGAAGATTATTTATATTTAGAACACTGAACCCATGTGAGAGAAACGCCATTCTTTTTACATATACTTCTATTTCTGTACATTCTGTACATTTGTTTTCTTTCAAAGCAATGTCGAGTACAGATAGGTTTTCCAGAGTGTATAGCAGAGCAAGTTTCTCATGTGAGCCACCAGATGGTGTGATGAGCTCCTGCTCAGTCTCACGTTCTATATTCAGTAGATGTGTCATATTTTTGCCAGGTTTCATATATGGCATTGCCTGACAGTGGTACGTAGATACGGTTCCTGACTTCATGGGAGATGGTTATGAACAATTAAACAAGTATTTAGTAAGTCCTATGAAAAACAAGATAGGTTCTTGAAAGTGATTATGCGTGATCTGAAGATTGGATCTAGTTAAAACTTAGTGAGTACACAAACTTCAAATGTGGTTTTTCTCTAGAGATGGCTTTTTAAAAACATTGTCATTCTCAAAGTTCATTAAAACAAAGACCAAATTGTGTGTGTGTGTGTGTGTGTGTGTATGTATGTATGTGTGTTTTAATTGGTGCTGGTACTGGGACATGAATTCAGGGCTCTAGGTGGGAGTTCTGCACCTTGAGGCATCCTTCATTTCTAGCCTTTACTAGGAGATAAGAGTCTTATGGACTTTCCTTCCCAGGATTATAGGCATGAGCCACAGGCACGGGGGTTGTGTGTGTCTAAACTAGCATTCTGTCTTTATGAATATATAAGCATGATTAAGACTGGCATTAGTTTAAGTACCTATAATTCCACGAGAACCATGAAATCCAGTTATGCTTGTGTATGAATATATCATCAATAGTAAAGAAAATTCAGTGTTGAAAGGCTCTTTTGTGTGTGTGTGTGTGTGTGTGTGTGTGTGTGTTTTGATAGAGGCTTAGCCAAAGAAAGATGAGTAAGATTTAGAAACTATCAAATTAATTCAAGTTAGTGGTGTAAGTTTGGAAATTGAAGTGTCAGGGTTGGTTTAGGGAACTGTAGGTCTGACTGGATTTTCCATGTACTAACTGTGGGGTGGGGGGCGGGAAGAGGTCTAGTTAGAGATAGGTGAAAATGTTAATGGGGTCACACTGTATATTCCTTCAGTGCAGGGGACTTTTTTTTGTGTAATGGGGTTTTGAGTAGGGAAAAAATAGTAATGTAGTATAACTGAACCATAATCTAGTGCCAGTATATAGGTCTGAGGAGGAAACAGATACAAGATCTTTCACAGGCTGAGAAATAACGTATACTGTTTGCTTTTTTCTTAGGATCTTGGTGATGGTGTCAGTGAACATTCAGGTGATTGGTTGGATCAGGATTCAGTTTCTGATTCGGATCAGTTCAGTGTAGAATTTGAAGTTGAATCTCTTGATTCAGAAGATTATAGCCTTAGTGAAGAAGGACAAGAACTCTCAGATGAAGATGATGAGGTATTTTTCCTTCTAATTAGAATATTACTAAATTTTTCTGTGTTCGTTGGCTTTGATGAGATTGAAGATGTATTCATATTCATTTGAAATCCTTCTCTTGGTTTGTTCACAATAGAATATTTGTTTGTGGACTTGAGACTTTCATAATTACTTATTGTTCAACTGTATCCTTCTATTACTAGTACCAAGGAGTTAGTAGACTTTAATGAGCAATTATAATGGTCAATTCATTTTTAGAAATATTTAATACTAACTTGAAACCGGGTGCTGATGGCTCATGCCTGTAATCCTAGCTACTGAGGAGGCTAAGATCTGAGGATCTCAGCAAGAAAGTCCTTGAGACTGCTATCTTCAATAAACAACCAGAAAACCAGAAGTGGTGCTGTGGCTCAAGCAGTAGAGCCCTTGCCTTGAGCTGATGAGTGCAAGGACAGCGCCCAAGCCCAGAGTTCAAGCCCCACAATGGACAAAGAGATAAAAAAAAAGTAATATTAATTTGCTTATAAAATAATGCATGCGAACAGTTGAAATCAAATAGTATCCCTAAAACCATTTAATAATCCTGTTAACTTTTGCCAAAGTGAGTAAGGATTTCACTGTCTTCCATTTTCCTCCTTTATACTCACTCCATTTTGACCTTTGTTTCAGATTTTTTCATACATAGTAGTACATGCTGTTTATCTATGACATTGTTAAGAAGCCTTTCTGATTGAAGAAAAAAGAGATGAATTAATACTTTTTTTTTTGGTAGGTATATCGAGTTACTGTGTATCAGGCAGGGGAAAGTGATACAGATTCATTTGAAGAAGATCCTGAAATTTCTGTAGCTGTAAGTATATTTGTTCTTTTTTTAAGGGATTAAAAAATACTGAGGTCAAAATTGGAAAAAAAAAAGTGTTTAATCTACTTCTTGAAAAGAGGTGATTTTTATAAAATTAGACTTTTAGTCTTGTACCAACAGCTCATACCTGCTCAGGAGAAGATCTGAGGATTTCAGTTTGAAGCTTAATGCTGAGCAAAAAAATGAAAGACTAGAGGTGTGGCTCAAATGGTAGTGTTAGCCAGTAAAAGCTGAATGTGAGGGCTGGGAAGGTGGCTCAGTGGTAGAGCACTTGCCTTGCATGCATGAGGCCCTGGGTTCGATTCCTCAGCACCACATAAGCAAAAAGAAAAAAGC